TTGAACCCCATCACCTCACAGCACACAGACGTGCAGCTTCTGTCGCAGACACGCGCAGACACCCTCACATGCACCAACACACCTTGCAGGTAGCTAGCGCATGTGAGGGAATAGCTGACTGAGGCAGAACAGAGAGCGAACCCTTCTGGGAGCTCAGTGTCCTTGCTGTCAGGACAGTTAACTTCCTGTGCCGCTCTGACCTCTCGGGCTATATGGATTTGTGTGTGTGTGTGCCGTGGAGCATTCATGAGTTTGTATCGTGCTGTTTATTACACCATTCAGATTATTTATTTGGTGCACAACTTCGTCTCTGCTGAACTTTATTCTCAATCTGAAGTAATTTAATTAATAAAACACATTAGTGCATTAGGGAATATTTAATTTGGCTCATGGTTTTAGTAAAATTGTCTCCTGTGTGCAGAATGTGGCTAGACATGCCAAAACTAGTCTGAACCAGGCATGTTATCAGAAATCCTCATTTTTAGCTCAGGCCTCCTGAAAAAATCAAATAAGATCGAGACAGAATAGTTCCTTTTGGGAGTTTGTAAATAGAATAAATCTTATATTAAAAATAAGGATTATTAACATTAACTGTTTGACATGAACATTATAAGTAATGAGCATAATTTGTTTATTAAATAATAACATCAGTTTTATTTATTAATTAATTCTGCACCTTACCCTAGATGAAAAATTAGCATATATTTGATTTATAAGATTATTATTTATTATTCATTAGAATTTTTTCATTAAGCTGGCTTCTTATCATCTATTCATAGAGTATAATACAAATATGAAGATTAACGCAATTAACTTAGTTGGTGAATCTCACAAAAACTGTCAAGAAATGTTTGGGTCATATTTCACAGTGCAAAATAAAATATAATTGCTTGTTTTTTTGTTGTTGTTTTTTTCAGGGGTGAAATATAAGCCAGACAATTCTTTCTCAGATCCACCATTTATTGCTTGTTATTTCATCACAGACTGGACAAAGTGTTTGACCCAACAGTGAGTGTATTTTGCTCCACTTGTAACACCAAACAGAATTGCAAATACCCTACTTTGGTGTTTACATAAGGAAATGTAAGGTTTGCAAGGCTGCAAAGGCTTTTAGGTTTTAGGCATAGATATTCAAACAAAGTTATGGAGTTTTTATGTTAGGTGGCTTAGGCTGAAGAAAGTAGAAATTTAATTTATAGCTTTTCAGAAAGTTTGAAGACCATCAATGCAGTTATTTGCACCTTTATTCTCCCCTCAACTGAAAATGTGCCCATCTTTACCCATATGAGTGACACTGCATTTGGTCAAAGCAGAAACTTTGTGGCTGGTTTGTCATGAACCCAGTGATTTAAGGATGGAGAGGCCTGCATTTTGGCGTTCCCCATTCACTCTGTGTGACTCAGTGGCCTAAAATGCCTTTGTTTAAATGCTGACGGCATAATGTTAGTCAACATTTACAGCCTGAAATCCTCCAGATCATTTCCTCCCTTGCTCATCCATTCCTGTGAGGTCATCTTTTGGCTTTAACCAACTGGCGCTGATGAAGATATAACTTGTTCCAAACTTCTACAGCAAGGATGTACTGTCGAGACAAAAGGAGGAGGGTCGTTGCTGGCAAGCCAAATCCTGTTGCCAAGCAATGCGGCGGGTTTTGTTTTACGATTACATCTTCCGACCGGCAGCTTGTTGCAATTAGCGTTGTCGTTTGAGAGGCCGAGCGAGTTAACGGGTGGGTGGGTGTGTGCTGTACAATATTTCTGTTTATTTGACTGAATATGCTCCTGCATTCTCTTCACAGGATCTTCACTGATCTTTCACACCGCCTGTTGTGTTTACCATCTATCTGTTCCCTCTGGTTTTCATCTTTTATTTTCCTTTTTATCTATTACAGACTCTGTCTTCCTCAGAGCTGGTCACTGTATAACATGCATGGTCTTTAAGGGAATGGCGAAGACTGTAGATTAAATCCAGATATTTAGTTTTGTTTGAAGTGTTGCTCTGACTGGACCAAAGCGACACGGTTGCTTGAGGGGGCTGGTTTTAATTCTCAGAATCAGGTCAGCGATCGGCCAGCAATCACACATGAATATGTTTGTGTGGAGACTCGCATACTCTGAGATGGCTGGTTTGAGGGTCGTCTTCAGCTTAGACTTGGGGTTCCTTTTGATGAAGAGCATCTCTGACAGATCATAATGTGTTTATGGTGCTAAAGCTTTGTTCACTAGGCAACACTAAAGAAAAGGCCTTTTGGTTTGACGTCAGCCAGAAATGAGACGGATTGTGTGCATCTTATATATTGGAAACTCCTGATAGGATTTAATTGATTAACAAAATTCGGTATCTTGTATCAATACCAAATTGTTAACAATTGTTGAATAAAGTCATTATTTTTGTTTTCTTTGTGCACAAAAAGTATTCTCGTAGCTTCATAAATGTAGTTGTCATTGCTGCCGTTTTATCTGTTTATAACCGAGATTTTTGTGCTGAATTTGAATGCATCTCACTAGATCTCGCAGCAATCTTTATTCATTCTTCGCCAAATTAAAATGCTTCTCACTGGATCTCGCACCACTGTGCTGTAACAGTGTCGCGAAATCAGCTTTGGTTCACTAGTAAAGCTGTTCTGAGTTCGGACAAGTTTGTTTGCGTCACGATCCGAGCTGATAAACGGTCCGCACTGCGCAGCTCAAACACGTAGTTGGATTTTGTTATGCTTTTGATTTGTTTGCCGTTTGATGTTTCTCATATGCAATCGAAATGGCAGCGCTTACGATTTGAACAAAATTTTGTCGTACCGGAAGAAAAAAGGGTCACAAAATGTGACCATTTGGTCGCAGTCTGGAGCCCTGAATTAATTACAGAATTTTCATAAACATGCTTAATTTTGGTAAATTGCACAGAAAACAAGCTCTTAGGTCAAGAAAACTTGTCATTTTGCTTCTCAAGTGATTGCTCAAGTATTTTGATATAAGAATCTTAATATTTTGAACCCCTTTAACTTCATTGTATGGATAAGATAAAAAAAATATTTTTACTGAAGAAAGTAATTCATACAGGTTTGCAACAACATACGAGTGAATAAATAATTACAGGCTATTAATTTTCGGGCATCTGCCCCTTTAAGAAATTGAATGAATTTCACAAATCATGCTGTCTGACCTGCTGAACTTTGCAGAATAGGAGCAGATTGTGCTGATATTTGTAAGATGATATTGTACTGTGGTAAACTTTTGGTACTGTGGCACTGCCGTACACTCCTGCAGATGATTGATGTGTTGTTGATGTGGGAATCCAGAGAAGATCCTACCAGATGATCTGAATTCTATCATCTCCCCACAGAACACATTGATTTGCCTCCGTCGCCACATGTTAGAGGCCGCGTGCGACTGCGCTGCGTGTTCGCGTGTGTATGTGTTATGTGGATTCAGATGGTGCGGGCACAGCTGTCTGGGTGTAATAAGACACACAGGTTGTCCTCATGTGGCCTTTGTTGTTTCTTTGGCATCTTTTAGCTCTCGTCTCTCCGTCTTTTGCACTCATTTCACACACACGCACACCCTCTTTCAAACATAATTAAGCTTTTGTTCGGCAAATGGAAAGAGGAAAAAAATTATGACTGGCTGAGCGACGGAAGGTAGGCTAACAGAAAGGAAGAGGAGGAGGAGGAGGAGAACAGTCAGAGTATTTGTGGTAAATGCCCATGTTGTTCCTATTTTAAAGCCCTATGGGCCTAATGGCTGCGCAGACCGGAGCTCTTGCCGCTCAGCTGTTGTTCTGTGCACCATCAAATCAGTCTGACTTTAGTTGTTTTTTTTCCTCTCTAGTCTTCTGTGACTCCATTGTTCCTGACCCATTTTAGACTTTTCATTCTTTAAATCAGGGTTTTGTTCTTTGCAGTAAATTTTTTTTGCTCTTTCCTTAGATGAAAGTTACACCGTGATCATCCAAAAGAGCCATCGCTCCCCTCAAACCTAGACACACACATAAATCAGTTGTGAACTTGTGCCGAATTCGCACTGCACAAATTTCAAAGTCGTCAGATCACTGTTGTTTTCACACAATGGCGACAGGTCTAGATATTTAGCATGCAAAATATTTCACGGGCATTGGCGACAGATCACGTCTTTGATAGTTCACACTGCATGATTGTCACTCATGTGAGGGAGCACCGATTTGCCTCAGATTTCGAGCATTTGTTGGCAATTTGTTGGCGAGTGAAAATCTGGGCTAAAATTGTGCAGTGTGAACTCGGCATTAAGGTTAGACTCATGAAACAGTGAAATGAAAATAGTATAAATATACATTATTAATTATAAAACAAATATGGTCTGTGTTGTAATTTGTAGTAATAGCCAGTTATTTTAGTAGAATTTTATTTATTTATTTATTATTATACATGATGTTGGATTATAGTTAAATACAAAACAAATAAAAATTGTCTTTCAGGAAAAAACTATTGGCCAATTAGTTCAGCAGAATTTTATTTAATGTACTATAGTTAAATACAGAACAAATGAAATGCACATAGTGATTTGCATTCCAGAAAACAACTGGCCGGTTAGTTTAGTAGAATGAATATATATATATATATATATATATATATATATATATATATAATTATTTTATTTTATTTCATGTTTTATTTTTCATTTCTTTAGCTTTTGGTTTTTCTCTAGTCTACTCTGACGGCATTGTTCCTGACCCATTTTTAGACTTTTATTTTAGAAGTCCGTGTTTTTGCAGCAAGTCAAATGTTAGGGCTAATTTTAGCCACCCTCCAGCACAATAAAACTTTATTTCATTTGCTCGATTTACAGCACAACATATTACACCAGCTAACCAGTGTTGCATCCATCTCCTCCTCCGATGTCTATGCTAAAGGGAATTGACTTTTCTCGTTTGATCGGAGCTTGAACAGGATAAAAACGGATTTGTCAGTTGAGATGGTTCAAGACCTCAAGAGCACTTTTCTGCAGCTGCTCAAGTGTCCTGCCTAACGATGTGTGCATTTCTCTCTCCTAGGGCTGGTGTATGGCAGTCAGGTGGTTGTCCCGCCAAAGGTGAACGCCGTGTTGGGAAAGAACGTCACCCTCAGCTGCAGGGTACAGGTGGACACAAACCTCAGCCTGACGCAGAGCTCGTGGGAAAGGAAGCTGCCCACTGGATGGGTGACTCTGGCAGTGTATAACCCAATGTTTGGCATCTCCATCCCGCCCGAATATGAGCGACGGCTGTCCTTTCGCTCGCCCTCCATGCACGATGCCACCATCGTGCTAGAAGACGTGGGTTTCGCTGACATCGGCATATACACCTGCAAGGTTGCCACCTTTCCGCTGGGTAACACTCAGGCCTCCATCACTGTCAGCGTGATAGGTAACAAGAGATGCAGTGTGTGTGTGCGTGCGTTTTTGCAGTCTGATTAATTTAGATTATGCACTCATAGCGTGGTGCTTGTGTATTAATGCGGAAGTGCCTTGACGAACCTTTCGCATGCGTGCGGTCGACAAAGAAAGAAAGGCGTGCGAGTGGATGCACATCACAGCTGCCGAATAAAGCACTGCTTATTTGTGTAAGTAGGCAAGTATGCAGTGTGTGTGCAAGAGGGTGGAAAAACATTGAGCAACTTCAGGGTAGGAATGAAAGCAGTGTTTTGGGAGACGGTCCAGCTCATTTAGAGAACATGGTGATGTTTAAACTTTCTTCCTCCACCAAACCACCAGAGCCATCTGCTCTGCTAAACACAGATACAGCCGAACGAAGCGGTGTGCTCTTGTTATCTGGGTGTACAAGAGACAACAAGAGACGTTTACAAGCACAGTGCGTTGTGTTAGGTAAATCAATTATGTATCGGTCTATGGAGGCGCGAGGAGAGTCGCTGTTTCCTCTGAGCTCAAGATGAAGGTTACACGGGGAACATCCTCGGTGTCATCAGTGGCTTCAAGAATAGACTTTAGCAACTTTATTTTCAACAGAAATCAGTTGGTATAAAAAGTAACCCTGCACTGGTTGTTTTATGACAACAAAATTTCTAAATTAATGTTAGTATTGCTACAACAATGTATAATTTATACAGTACTAGTTATTTAAATACCAAATTACCAAAAAGGTTTCTATTTCACATGGCCAAGTTCAATTTCTGTATTTAATATATAAATGAGTAATATAACATTTAAATAACTATTGAATAAAGTATATGTTATTGTAGCTATTATTATTATTATTACTTCTACATCATATATAGCAGTTGTGGGTGGGTATGTTTTTTTTTTTTTTTTTAGTTTTTTGCATATTGAAATACATATATTTAATATTTCTGTATTTAATACATAAATTAGTATTCTAACATTAAAGTAACTGTTGAATAAAGTGTATGTTGTTCTAGCTATTATTATTATTATTATATTACTACTTTGGCAGTTAGCAATGGTGTGTGTGTGTGTATGTATGTGTGTGTATATATATATATATATATATATATATATTATCTGTTTTTGCAAATGAGCTCTTCATACATACACACACACACACACACACACACACACACACACACACACACATATATATATGTATACTTATTCATATGTATGCGTGTGTGTGTATGCGTATACATACTGTGACGAGTCGACTGCCTCCCCCTAATTATCAGCATCACCCCGTCCCTTAATCGCCGCCCTTCGCCAGGCTTCCGACAGGAGTGGGTGCGTGAGAGAGGAGGGGCGCTGAAATAGCCAGGGCTGGCGGCGTGTGATGGGGCACACCTGAACTGAATGGAGCCTCATCACGGCCGCTGTTTAAATGACGAGCGCACCGGTCTCTTCCCTGTGCATGCACACTGGTGTCCTCGTAGGTCCAGGAAGGGTGTGTAGAGGGACTCCCGTGCCACCAGAGTCGTGAGCTACCGGACCCAGGGTCCAGACGAGAACGTTTGGTCGTCCCGCCACAATACGCATACACACATGCATACATTTATAAAATTACACATACAGTACCTATACACACACGCATATATATATATATATATATATTTGTGTGTGTATGTACTGTATGTGTAATTTTTACTTATAAATGTGCAGAGAAGACAGAACATCATGCTCTTTAATGCTGTTGGGCCATAATTGTAAACCATTAATAAAACTGTAAATTGTCAGATGAAGTGATCTAGTTTTGACGTGTGCCACACACATACCGTGTAGTTGCTGTGTTAGAGTAATAAATGGCATGCAGACACGAGTTGAGTGAAGGTTCATAAAGCTCAGAAAGAGATGAATTGAAAAAGATGATGTCATCGATAAAATGAGCTGTGCAATTGGAGGAAAATCGGAACGTGAACGAGAGCAGAGACGAACAGGGACTGAGAGCTTTAAAAGGAGAGATGGAGGGGGGCGGGATGCAGGAGGATGGAAAGTGGTGGTGAAGTGAGAGAGCAGGAACGAGGGAGGGGGAACATGCGCCGGAGCTATAATTAGATCAAGAGGAATGTTCAGGGTGTGTGTGTGCAGAGACGGGAGTGTGTGAGTGTGGGAATGATGCCCGCTGTTTTTGGGATCCACTGCACTTTAGGGTCAAGGATGTCATTGTGTGGTCCGGTTGAATTTGTGGTTTAAAGTGACACACGAGAGTTGCCACACACACACAAACACAAGCATTCATGACATGTCACTCACCACACAACAGTGGATGGTTGAAGGTACGATGACCACAGCTGCTACTGTTGTCTCTAAAGGTCAACTGCCAATGTTAATACTTCACAAGATGGGACGAGAAAAAACTCTGAGCAGGGAAAGAGAGTGGGTGAAATGAAGGCTAATCAATGGGTCTATTCGGTACACATCCTTTGACTTATACAAATGAATATTTATTATCAGATGGGTATCACCAACATCACCAAATATGATGCACATTGTGACACTAAATGATGCTATAGATTTCCTCAGAACTTAAGTACAATTTTTAATTACTTTCGAGGGTGGGGAATTATGAATGACACACATTTTTAAAAAAATGCAATATGAATACATGTTTCACTTGTTTATATATTTGACCACCAGAAAGGATCCAAATGGTTTTGTCTGAATTTTCAACTGATTGAGTTGAAAATGATTGATCATTTAAGGCTCAAAATGTCTCTTTTGTAAATATTTTGTTTGAAAAATAGGCTCTTTCCTCAAAAATAAATGGCAATTATTTGGATATTTTGTCTAATGCAGTGCCATTGCATTAGAGAATACATTGCGATTCATCACGGTCATAATTGGGTTGTGATGACCTGCCATTTCATTAATAAAACTTTAGCTAAATTATATGCAGAAAGTATCATTCATGATGCACTGCATTTGAAAAGTGATTTTTATTTTAAGAAGTTAATATTTTTATTCAGTAAGGATGCAATAAATTGATCTAAATTAAATATATTCATAATATGTGACCCTGGACCACAAAACCAGTCATAAGTAGCACTGGAATATTTGTAGCAATAGCCAAAAATACATTGTATGGGTCAAAATTATAGATTTTTCTTTTATGCCAAAAATCATTAGGATATTAAGTAAAGATCATGTTCCATGAAGATATTTTGTAAATTTCCTACCGTAATTATCAAAACGTAATTTTTGATTAGTAATATGCATTGCTAAGAACTTCATTTGGACAACTTTAAAGGCAATTTTCTCAATATTTAGATTTTTTATTTTTTTTTTTGCACCCTCAGATTCCAGATTTTCAAATAGTTGTGTTTCAGTCAAATATTGTCCTATCCAAAAAAAAAAAACATACATCTATGGAAAGCTTACTTATTCAGCTTTCAGATAAGTCTTCAAAAAAAATTACCCTTATGACTGGCTTTGTGGTTCAGGTTCACATTTTAGAAAGGTTTCCATTTCATATTCTATAGGGATGTCAATTTTTTTTTCGAATATTCGTCAAATTAAAAATAAAAATCCACATTCGAATGCAAAAATGTTGCATTTCGAATTTTAGTTGTGCATTAAGGAAGGCAATCTTATCAGTGACACACGAGATGCGATGACGATGTAAGCGTTGTTGCATTATAATGTTTATGTTAGCCTATCCAGTAGAAGCCACTAGATACAAGCTGCTGCGTTGTTCATTAAAAATATTGCGGGAAAAGAGAACATCAATGTGGAGAAGACCTTGTTTACATCAAAACTGAAACCAAGCCATTCACACAGAACACATATTTTGCACATTTTCTAGAGGGACATCTATCACCGTTGCACTCGCACCTCTCACAATGGAGCCGCATGTTTTGAAAGTTTAACTTTGAAAAAAAGCATATATTGAGACTCTATGGTGGGGTTTTTTCCCCATCCCACTACATCTCATGTTTTTAAATGAAAAAATGTACTCCGTGTGATTGGCTTTCCGCCCTTTGTATTAAACTATGCATACATACATACATGATGCTGTTTTGTTTATAGTTGTTTAAGCAACTTAATTATAATTGGTTTAAACATTATTTTATACATTATGCACTTTTTTTCACAGATAGTCGTTATCTTATGCTTTGAATAAACGTGCATTAGTTATATTTTGCTCAATGCGCCCTCTTGTGGCCTCAGAAGAGAAGCCAAAAGCTATTCTTCACCATAACTGAAATTATGCATTTTAAATTTGAATAGAATTTGAATTTTGATAATATTAAAGTACAACATTCGAATTTAGTTTTTCAGCCATTTTGACAGCCCTAATATTCTATTCATCAGACAATCCTTAAAAGAATGCCATGGTTTCCACTAAAATATGAAGCATAACAACTGTTTTTAACATTAATGATAATAAGAAATGTTTCTTGAGCACCAAATCAGCACAATAGAATGATTTCTGAAGGATCATGTGACACTGAAGACTGGAGTATTGATGCCGACAATTTATTTTTGCCATCACAGGAATAAGTTACTTATAATAGAAACAATCATTTTAAATTGTAATAATGTTTCACAATATTACTGTTTTATTGCATTTTGATCAGCCTTTAAAACATTTACTGAACCCCTGACCTTTGAACAGTAGTGTATATCAATAGATGATTGTATTAGCCCTTCTTGATTTAGCGGCCCTCCCTTGTCACAGGAGCCTGGGACAACGTTCCCATTTGTCTCCCACCGGTGATGGCACTGAGTAGAGAAATGGAAGGCAAAAGCGCCCCACACATGTTAAGTTTCTTTCAGCCGCTGCGGAGGCAAAGCTCAGTTTTCCAGGCCTGAACACTGCTGGATTCATAATGGCTCGCACACGCCCAAGCCCCGCCCCTTCTGCCATGTAAACTGGATAAGCCATTAAAACAAATAATTTCATCTTCTCTGGAAAAGCACTTAGTGCTCTCTGATGAGAAACCGAGGCCGCCCTCAGCCGGTAGTAACCATAGAGAAATTTTTTTTTTCAGTCCGATAGGACTTTTATTTCTTCTCAATGAAAATCTAATTATTCTCTGTCATTCTGATCAGTTTATGAATTTACTGGCTGTGGTACCAGAGTGATTCTTAATCCTAAGGGGATTAGCTTATAGTTAGCTTTGTACTCTCATCTGAATAGATGTGCTTTAGCTAGGTTCATTATCTTGATACATCTTTCCAGTAATAGTGTGAGTTTGTCTCCTCACATTAAAGCTCAGAATTAAACACAAGTGGTGTGGTATATTTATCTCAAAGATGTCTCTCTCTGTCTTAGTGGAGCCGAAGGTATATGTCTCTGCTGGATCTTCTGCTCTGATCGACGGTGGCAATGAAACCACAGTGGCCACCTGTATTGCTGAGAGGGCTCGGCCCCCTGCCGACGTGTCCTGGGAGACGAATCTGTACGGCACGTCTGAGGCCCACATGCAGGATGATGTCAACGGCACCACTACGACCCAGGTGCACTACACCTGGCAACCCTCCCGTCACGCCCAGGGCCACACGCTAACATGTGTGGTCAAACACCCCGCTCTACAGAGCGACTTCAGGATACCCTATATCATCAACGTACAGTGTGAGTATCGGATAGGGGTTTTTTATAGTTTGACAAGAGTGTGCACATGATTCTGTTTATGCAGTATACCTTTTGTTTTGTTTTTGTTTGTTTTTTTGCACAAATTAACTAGCCATAACTCATTCTTATTACCAGCTTCGTAGTTAATTTTATTCAATAGAAATAGAGCATAGAATAAATATGGAATAAAAAACAATACAATAATAAATTTTTAGAGCACACTGTTATGTGTAAATGTTTCACTATTTGGAAAGATGTTCTGCTATTAATTGTTCACTTTTCACGGTTTCACTATTTTGAAGAACCTTGTGGAAAATGTTTTCTCATGAAAGTTTGTACATAACATTTTTTTGACTTGTATTGTATACATTATAAAAACTCATTTGTGTTTTTGTACAAGTTTTTCTGTACTCTTTCTTAGTTTTTCGCTTTATAATTTAGCAATTTAAGAGTGCTTTTACACAAGAAATGCCATTTAAATTTAGCTTCATTTCTATTTATCACACAATAGTTTGTTCATTTAGTATATTTTTTTAATTATTATTATTTTTTAAATACTATTCGGTATATAATTTATAGCATTTTCTTAGAAGTATTGTTATAAATAGTAAAAATTAAACTGAAATACATCCACATGAAATGGAAACCAGAATCATATCAAACTGAGATATTGTGAATCAGAGTCGATCAAATATGGAAATCTGTATGGATAATCAGCCCTAGAAGCATGTCTTTTTTTTTAAAATTTGCTCATCACTTAAATCAGATTTTTTTTAAACTGCGAGAATCAGACTTCTTGCAATTTAAACCATGCAACCGCTTATCAGCCAATTGGCCACTAAACATATTTACTTCCAAAAGCCAAACTTGACTCTCATTTGGTGCTTGTTCCTGTGTGCACGCAAGCCTGTTTTTGTTTGCTCAATCTAGCACAACAAACCCAAAGTAGCTTCTCCATGTAGATTTCACAGTAACTTACATTTAGTTTTTTCTATACCACGTCAGGCAATCAGATTTATGTCCAGAGCTCACATCTGTTTTCCATATCACCCCAGTGCGGTAACTATCCACATGACATGATGTCTTGATGCCGTCTTGTGCGTGATGGAGCTAAAAGCCCTTTTGCTAAGACACAGTCCTCAGGGTTTCATGAACTTATACTGAATACGGGTAGTGATGCTTCAGACAAATGATTTATCAGCGGCGTTTAACGATTTCTGCACACAGACTTCTACTAAGCTCCATTGAGCAGTGAGGAAGGCGCGTAAGTGTGTATCTGTTCTGGTGGCGAGTACGTAAGCGCAGATGTCTACTGTATGAAATATAGATGTAGCGGTTAGGGGCAGGCACAGGAAGCAGCCGGTGTAGGGAGTATGAGGAGGGAGAGGTCACATCAGTCATGGCACGACGCTTCTGCGCTCAATAGGGGCTACAGTCACGGAAGCATTTTTCTTTAGTTTTCCATCCATCTTTTTTCATCTCATAGGGTCTATATAACATCTTAATTCAGCACGCTCACTTAAAGAACTTTAAAGAGCTTTTCTAAAGGCACCAATCAATACTGTGTCCATTGTCTTTGTAAGTGGTCTTGTACTGCTGGTCAGACACACAATGTCTTAATGATGAATTATGTTGCTTTATGATCAATTAGTAATAATAATGTTGTTGTGTTATAGATTGCTACTTTATTGTTGTACCATTTGTCATGGATATAAAAATACGCACACACATAAAATATGTTTCTGCCTTAGCAAAAAATAAGGTAATTAGACTTGCAAACTTAATTTCTCATAATTGTTTCTTTATATGAAGAAGTTGCTTTATATCTACATTTTTAGAGCGATTTGAAGTCACTTTGTTAGATACAAAGTCGCATTTATGATAAATAGTCTCAAATGGGAGACAATGTCAAAATTGCAAGATTGTAACTTTAAATCTTGTGACTGACTTGGTATTTCTACTAGTTGTGTAACTAATACTAACTTTTTTTTCTTACAAATGCAACTTTCTCACAGATTGATAATATAGTTTAAATGTAATGTCATGTATTCAAACCACAAAAATTAGTTGTAGTTTTCTTTTAGTCCATGTAGAGTATATTACCTTATATAAAAAATAACCATGTTAAATTTAGTGTTAGTATTGCTATAACAAAATATAATTTATACAGTACAGTTATTTAAATACCAAATGAAAAAAATATATATTTGGTATATAATTATTATATATTTACATATATTGTGTGTGTGTGTGTGTATACAGATGTACCTATTTATATTGTGTACATCTGTGTACACGCATGTACATAATCTGGACCAAAATATCAATGATTTATTCTGACTGCACCGATTTTTATCCAAAGCCCCATAATACATAACACATGGCAACTGGCAAATCAGCATGGCATCTGGTGATTTATGACTGTGATGTAAAAGTGTTTTAGGTCTTTAAAAATGTATATGTCCTGCCCAAACTCTCTGTTTCAATACGAAATGCATCAACACAGGACAAGAAAACTGCACTTGTCATGTCATTTCATAGGGTCTTTAACAAGGCATAGCCTAGCCTTACCTTTCTTAAACTACTCTGAATGATCCCTTTATGCTTTGTGTGTGTGTGTGTGTGCGCAGTTGCTCCAGACATCCTGGTGCTGGGCTATGACGGCGACTGGTATGTGGGCAGGGAGAATGTGCAACTGAAGTGTCGAGCCAAGGCCAACCCGCCTGCCCAGCACTTCAGATGGATCAGGTGTGTAACCACTATGTCTGGAATGGGTTCAAGAGTGTACTCATCTCAACTCAACTCATCTCAAAGCAACAGATTATCTCTATGATTCACAACACCAAGAGTAGCTTTCAAAGCAAATGACCAGTATTATGAGTGGATGCCCAAGCATTCTACTTATTCAAAGCAAATCTAATTCTAGGAATCCACTAATCTGTTAATGTTTGTCAGTATTGTTCACGAAGTTAGAAGATTGCACATTAATCATTTGAGCTTAAACAATCTGCCTCAAGCAGTCATAAATGTTTTGACAAACCATTCTTTGAGGAAAATAACTGCAATGGAGTAATTTTTGAACTATAAAATGACACGGAATGGGAGTCGTGGGCAAGCAGATATGTTTAACAAATCAAAACTTGTTGACATATATGCTAGTCACTTGTTGGTTTGATTTTGTTTATCAATATCTGGTCCAACTAATCCGTTTCACAAAAGCTTTTCACTTCTTTTTTTCTGCAATTAACCGTTAAATTTAGTTGGTCTTTAAGATCTTTTCTGGACTTTAAAATCTTAAGAAACGTGTTTTTAGTCAAGCTTTTGACTGACATTCTAGATTTCTGCTGCTACTGACATTTTCCATTGTGCCTAGGCAGACCTGGATAAAGGATAGAGTTTGATAAAGACATGTTTGCATGTTTTAGGTTGGATGGAGAGATGCCAGATGGAGCAGAGGTGGTGAATAACTCTTTGGTGTTTATGAGACCCTTGCAGAAGAACGACTCTGGGGTTTACAGGTGTGAGGTGGCAAACGATATCGGACTGCACAGCCGAGACATTAGAATACGTGTTCAGGGTGAGTAAGAGACTTGAAACATGACACCCATCTTACCAAAGTTTACCAGTATGTTTCCTATGTGAAACTGGAGAAACAATGGTAAGAAATAACATCAAAACTTTACCAGTCAAATTTATTTTAACACTCACACACACCCATTGTTGGTGTGTTGAAATGTTGGCCTTAATCTGAAACGAATGGACTGAGAATGCCGTATCTGGTTTTCTTCAAGGGAAAGTTCACCTGAAAATATTAATTCCTAACATTATTTACTCATTTCAAAAATATATGCCGTTTGTTTTTTCTTTTTTATGAACAGCAACATGAGGGTGAGTACATTTTATTTTTGGGTGAACCATTTCTTCGAGCCCCACAGATCTTCTTTAGAACCCACTGATCTCATCACTCAGAATCACATGGGTCCGGATCCATTTTTATGGGGCACACAAGCTTATAATCATTTTCGTGAGCCAGAGGCCTTTGCCTGAAAGGCATTGGTCCTGCATTTAAATTCATTTTAAGTTCAGCTTTGGCTTTTTAAAAAAAAGTTTTGATGGGTTTTTATTGGGTTTCCTGAGTCATTGTCTAATTGACCTCTGAGACAGGTGTTCTCTGTCACATTCCATGAGGTTTATCTCCCATCATTTTTGCGTGAACATTAAACATTGAATACTGTTGTTTCTTGAGTTTCTGTGAAAGCCACCTCCCTCTCTCTGTTGCTCTTTCTCCCTCCCTTGTGCACACTTACATCTCTGAGACTGTCACGCTGTTATACAAGGGGAGAATAGAGTGGAAGCAACCTTGACTGAGAGATGTCCTAGATTCATGAAACATTCACCAGCTCTTTTCAACCGCCATTAATGATGTATTTTCTTTTAAAATTTTCTTATGCTTTCCCCTTGAGAAAGATTCCGCTTCTATGTGCATGAAGCTGCGTTTCTGTGCGTGTTTGGTTGTTTTGTCAAAGTTGTCTGTGTCTATCTTCTAAGAGTTCCTTTGCGTCATTTGAGTCAAGATGTTTCTACTATAATGCCTACTGCTACTGTTTGCGTATTGACGGAGTGAATGTGGGTGTGAAAGTGTGTGCTGCTGTTGCTGATCTTTGTGCATGAGTATGGGTGGGAAGTACCTGTCCTGCATGTTAAACACCCTGCCGCTACCTGTGTGGTCACCAATCACCCCCAAATACACACCCACACACTCCCTCCAAACGGGTTGATCCAGACAGTGTATGGACAGGAATGGGGAACCACATACATTTGGATTTTATGGAGGCACATAGAAGAGAAGAATGAGAGAGGGAGGGGTTTCTGACCTTTTCGTGACTTGTCCTCTCTTTATGTCCTGTTCTCTTCCCTTCTGGATATTGATGTGCTGAGGCCAGAAGGTCTACAGTTTATTGATTGAAACAAATTATTCTTTAACTCGCTGGGCAAAATTGAATAAATTAAAATAAATGGACATTATACATGTCCCTTGTGGTTTAAGGGGATAGTTCACACAAAAATTAAAATTCTGTCATTATTTACTCATCGTCATGTTGTTGCAAACCCGTATGATTTTCTTTCTTCTGTAGATCAGATATTTTGAAGAATGTTCATGCAGGTCTTTTCCATGCAGTGGTGTTTCATAGTGTTAATCTCCAAAAATGTGTAAAGGTAGTCTTTTATGAGTTGTGCGCTATTTTTCAAGTCTTCTGAAGCAATACAAAAACTTTAATTGTCCAAAATGTAAATTGTTGTCTGTGGAACTACTGAATCATTGAGTCAGTGATTTGAGGTTCCGGTCCGTGAACAAACTATTAAGGTTCTTGAATGAATCATTCAAACTTAGTTCAAAAGACCAATTTGTGCACTGATTCAGTTCTTGAGTTCAACTGTTATACTATAAACTGTTGTGTGGAAAAGAGCTGTGAATTTTTTTCAAAGATTCTCTTTTTTTATTTCACTCAAAGAAATAACCATGACCAGGTCAAAAAAAAAAAAGAAAAGAGGGTGAGTAAATAGTGACAACCAGGGCTGTCTAGACCATGCTCTGCCCTTTAGATGTTAGGATCAGCCTTGGTGATAACTGATTTTTGGTTGAACTAAAAAGCTGCTCTTTCCTACATACATATACATTCACTCACCAGACCCACAGATGCATCTAAATTACCTTTAACCTTGTGGGAACAAAACCGTCCAAGAATGCTTTATGTATGCTACGTTTATTATTCATTCCAGCAAGGATGAGCAAATTATTCCCCACTTTAGCTGGAGCATTTGAACCCCGTAACCCTGAAGAGCTTGCAGCCCTGACTCCTGAGAGTGAACTCGCACGTTCTGCACTCAATGCATGCACACACTTCACAGCCAGCCAAATAGCTCTCATTGCGCCGGGAACAGGACACTCCGTAATGGGATAGTTTGACTTTCAGCTTCCAGTCTCCAAGAACGCTTCTTGCATAGTCCAGATGCATGCCCCAGAATGCGATGAAACGCTACACGCTGCTCCATAACACAATAAAGCGATCAATGCATGGTAATGGCATTAACGCAATCTTCTACCCAAGCACCATGTTAGCAGTTAGGCGTAGCAGCCACCCAATCCTCGGGTATTCTCGACGTCTGTCCCTCTCCCCTCCCCCAGTAGCATGTACCCTTTCCTTGACCCCTTCCTTCCATTTAGTGTGTTCTCATCACTCAGCTATGTGGTCATCCGTACTCCCTCTCTCAGCTAACACAAATGTTGTTTCATTGTTGCAGATGACTGTACTTCAGTGTTAGCTGGAGATGTTAGTATGTAGCTCCTCATGAATCCCTTATCATGAAGATCCCAAATCTCCTTTCTCTTCCATGTTTTTAGTCATCTTTGCTCTGGACAACAGTTTCAGGTTTTGAAGCCGTCTGAAGGTTTGCAATCGCATCCTTTCAATAAAAGACCTGGAACTATTGCATCCACGGCAATAGAGGATAGTCCTGTTATTCATGCTATATGTCATGCTAGAAGATATTACAATCTTGGAAGCAAATTCATATGACCGTTAATGATGTACTGATGTAGCTGGCATTGACATTATCTACTTTTCTTTGTCTGTCCATCCCTGCCTCCTGCCCCCCCCCCTCCCTCTTGCCTCTCCCTCTTCCTTCCCTCCATTAGATCCTCCCTCAACCACCACCATGCCCCCCACCACCCCTGTGCGCCTCCTAACCGCTGACATCTCTGCCACCGCGTCTGGCAATAAGCAGAGAGCCCTCATCACGTCTCCAACCCTGGCGCCTCTGCCGGAGGGGAGCCTAGGCACGATTGTGGGCGGGGCAGTAGGCGGAGCACTCTTCCTGCTGTTGCTCCTTATTCTGGGTGGAGTTTATTACCAGCGTCAACGGCGGACGTTCCGCGGCGACTACTACACAAAGCAGTATCACGGCCCCTCGGATATGCAAAAGGCTCCCCAGCCCCATGAGCTGCAGCAAGTCTACAGCAAAGGAAGCCCTGACACCAAGCTCAAATCCAACCAGGATAACGGCACCATCTACCCGGATAAGGATCGAGAAGAGTGGGGTGATTTCGACCGCGAGCGATCGCCCAATGGTCGCAGCAGAGCTCTGAGGGAAGCAGCCGGTCAAATTAATCACCATAATCATCACAACCTTGAGCACGGCTATCACAGCGACCATCACCCAGTCCAGCCGCAAAGCTTCAGTCCAGCCCATCATATCCAGAGGAGCTCGCTGCAGCCGGAGCCCCGCAGGTTTGCTGCTCCGCAAGTCATGAGCAACGGCTCCCCCTACCTGCCGGAGGACTGCTACGACAACGACTACGTGTCGCACACGGATGGCTCAATGATCTCCCGGAGGGAGTGGTATGTCTGAGCAGGAAGAGACTGCGTAAACACTTACGAAATGCTTCAGACTGCAAAATGAGGATGATCAGAATTATGTAAAGAAAATTAGTAGGAAATGCACCTTTTCTAGTAGTTTACACCTACCGGTTTGTTTTTGTACATTAGCCTAATCATTAGTTAGCTGGCTTAATAGATGTTTTGGGACCAAGTGAGGGTATAATTCTCGTCTTCGTTTCTTAGATTGGTGAGGCAACAAGACGTCTGCTTTGTTTCACCGATAAACCAGTTCAGGGGTGATATAAGTTGCCAAATCAATAGCCAGTCTCCTTTCCCTTGCACAGTGAGGTGAACTGTGTGATTTATTTAAAAGAAAACAGTTAGAACAAATGCCATTTGTATTGTCGTTAAGTGTTTCAGATCAGCCCGACCGTGAGCGATGAGTTTCAATGAGTCACGTTAACTTTGAATGCTGTCACTCTGATGGAGGCAGAAATTAGCTCCCGTCAACAGCCTGGCGGTTTCCATGGCAACAGGAAGTTGCTGTAGGGAGGAGCTAGACAGGGAGGACCGTGCTGGATTTGATAAAGCCCAATGGGCGAAAGCCAGACAGGATGATTGCCGAAATGGGGTGGCTGTAATTGTATCAATTCATCTTCCATTTGCATAACCCTGCATCACTATATTAGCTCTGGATTTCTTTTGTTTGTGCCATCAAAAATGGAGTCTGTCTGCAGGAGACGGTTGGACAATGTACATTTAAAAACTACTGCCATTGTTCAACATGAAAGCTTGTCCCGTATTAATGTAGCTGTCTGCCTTGTCTTCGTCAGACCATCACTGCCCAGTGTTAACAACCTTTGACTGCATTCAGCGACTGTGCATTACGTCACGAATCGAGTCCTGTGCCTGTCTCTTGTGGTTCTGTTTGTGTGTGTGTGTCTGTAATATGTAAATCCAATCAGCTGGTGTTAACCAACAGTGTTTTGATGAATCGGCTCATTGCCTGTGCAATAGTGTTCAGATTTCCAGTCACATTCGCGCACATAATTTAACGCAGAAGACGATAGCCTAATACACATGTTAATGGTCATTAAACTTGTGTTGGCTGGATCTTAATGAGCTAGCAGATGCGTATGTTTGGTTTTTGAGATATTGGAGATGATATTATAGTGCCTTAAACTGAAGACGTGCCCTGTAAGCATTATAAAGTGCATGCAGAATTTACGAGCGAGTGAGTATCATTTTCAGAAGAAGTATGCGAGTAGTTTTGAGGCATAAATTGGTCAGGTTGGGTCCTGAGATCATTATTTTGTACTGTGCTTTGTTCACCACCTTGTTTTGTGTGCCATTTGCTTCTTTCAGACAATAACTAATTGTTTTTCTCGCATTAAATGACGTGTGACACTTGAGTCACGGTGCACATCAAAGAGTCATGAACTTAAAATGTCTGTGTACAGGTTTGGGTGAAGAATTCGATGAAAACAAACTTATGTATATATGCTGGCAGATAGGAGAACCTTGTTTTGTTTTGTTAGTTTGTTTGAATTTATCGTTCCTATAGGAAGCCTGAGATTCAACTGTGGAACGCACTAGAAAACCCACCATTACACAGATTGTGATGAGAGGATCACAAGTACACTTCTTCAGAATCTTTTCCACTTTTTTTGTTTTACAAAAGAGCTACTGTAACAAAAGAAAATATAGAAATAATAAAAAAAATAGCAAGGAAGAAATGTATTTGCAATGTATAGATGATACTGAGCATTATTTTGTAAAATCAACCTTTGGGATACATTTGTTTTAAAATAAAGCACCTTTTTTTCTGTGACATGTTTCTTTCTTTTATAAGTTGGCCTCAGATCCATTTCTTGCTGGTTGGAGGGGTGAATGTTGTGGTCCTGGGTGTGACTGGTTGCTTCAGCTGCAGAAATGCTCCCTGTGGGGTTCTCCTCTACACTCCTGGAGGCCTCCAGGGATGTATTCCTCACGCCCACTTTTCCTTTGCTGTGGTTAACCTACTTCATCTCCAAAGATCCCTTCGTGCTCTAAACCTCATGCATATTTTGTGGGAAAGCCTGTGGCTAAAAGCTTCCTGTGGATGAGGGCTAAACTTCCTCTCAGACTTACCTAGGATAGCCCTAAAGTGGGGTGGATTATGGACTTGTTGATTCTTGTGTTTGCACTGCTGTTCTGTCGATCTGTGTGAGAGAAGATGGGGGAGCTGATTGACGAAGGGAAGATCAAGCACAGCAGTGGGACTAAATGGTGTTTGAGTGGTTTTTGTTTCATAGCCGTTGGAGAGTCTGTCATCCTGTCCAATCAGCTGGTGGTGGGACAAGCTAGTAATTAAAGTTGTCAAAAGTTCCACAATGAGTCAATGTCCAAAGTCGGCTCATAAAACATGCCTATTTATATAGCAAAGAAGTGTTTTAATGCTTTGGACCATCTTGCACCCCAAATCAGGGGAAAACAAGTGTCAAAATAATTATTACCTATTGTTTTAAGTAATGTACAAATTATCCTTGATTTATACCTTTTATCTTGACATAGCCTCGATGTTGCATTGAAATTAATAAATGTAATGAATTATGTTTTAGTACTACTTTGTACTATTTTTCTTCAGTATTTTGTTTACTGTTTCACAGATTCACTTAATTGTTTTTAAAGTAATGTAAATCTAAATGCAATCTAATTTAAATTATTATTTTTTTTAAATGAAAAGATTAAAGTGGTCAAAAGTTATAGTAAAGGCATTTGCATGTTACAAAATATTTATATTTTAAATAAATGTTCTTTTTAAATGTATATTCATTAGAGTCCTTGAAAAAAAATTTTTTACATTGCCAAAAAATATGAATATGAATCTTTATTCCTTCAAAAATATACAGAATAGAGATACTTTCCTTCCTTCAGGTATCTTAAGTCCAGGTTACTGTATAATTCCCTGGAAAGTGAGGTTAGCTCACTGAAAATAACAATGTCATTCATTATCTGAGCAGTCACACTATCACGGGTGAAGAGGTCACTTTCTCTCACTGCACTGTTTGAATAGATTCTCTAAGGAGCAGTATTACCCCCTCTCTGCTCCATCAGTGCCTCTGATTGGTTAAATTAGTCCGGTAGAATGGTTTTGTTTGCCACAGCCCCCTTCCAGGCCATTGATACCGTCCCCATGGCAACAGACTCTTCCCGGGCTTGTTCTCTTGAGGGATACCTGTGCCTCCTGTCTCAGAGAAACAAGAGGGCTTAGAGAGTGGATGAAAGAGGGTAATTCTGTGGAAAAAAGGGAGAGGAAATGGGAAATGAGGGGGAGCTTGAAACGGGAAGAAGGGAGGAGTCAAAGATGAACCAAGGTTAAAAAGGAGAACTGGGGGATGATGCAACATAAATGCATGCGTGAAGCTGAAATATGGCATTATAAATTCCTTCTATAAAAGATAAACACTTTAAAAGGCTGTGATCTGTCATTGTGACCAAGGCATTTTCCTCCCCCTTTTTTTTTTTTTTTTCCTCCTCCCGGAGGATATTTCCTTTGGAAAATTTGTCATTTTGTGACTCTTTCTGCTTCTCAGATATCCATCTTTTATGACATATTTTTCCACTAATACATCATAGTGGTCATGAAATCGTTCCCTCAGTGGTAGGCTGTTATTAAATGTTCAGTGGTCCATTTCAGAGAGTCATTTATCAGAACTAGAACACTGGAAAGTGTTACTGCACTTATTATTTCACAGTCACAGATATACTAGGTGGGGTGTACAAATATGTAACCAAATCGGCATCCAGCTGGTTCTCAAGATATCGTGTTAAGACAAATATATAAAAAAACAAATACTAAGCATTATATGCATTTCCTTTCCTGATGGTGATTTTTTTTAAGGCATCACACATAACCAATCCATAGCTAAATGTTTATTAGCCATTTTTCCTTACACCCAAGAAGAAATTTTCTCAGCTTGGCAATAGTGTAAGAATTCAAAGTGAAAAAAGAAGGAAAATAATCTCTCTGATTTTTATTCTGGATAATATATTTATTTACTTTAGACTGAATTGCAAATAAGTTGTGAGTCGCTGGTTTGTGGGCGATTTGGAACTGAATACCTCTGAAATTCTTTTAATTGAATTTGTATTAAGGTAGCAAACGACACAGAACTGCTATTTGAATTTGGATTGAAGAAATTAGAATTAAAACAGTTTCATACAATAATTTTTAATTATGACTTCGGAAAATCTCGTCAAGATTGATGTTTGAAAATTTAGGAGAAAAAATGATAAAGACTTGTCTTTTTTTTCTTTTTTTTTTGAAGTTGTAATTAAAATGATTCTTGGATTGTGTTTTACAAAAAAATTAAAGATGTAATGATTAATTCAGTGTTACTTGCTGTTTCTTTGTAATAGTTGCTATATATTTTTTCAGTGCATGAAGAACCTTTTTTTCCACAAAAGGTTCTATCTAGTGTTAAAAGGTTCTTTAGGTTATTAAACTGTTCTTCACGCTAAGAAAAAAAAAGTTCTTTTTTTAATGTTCAATGAAAGGTTCTTTGGGGAACCCAAAATGTTTCTTCTATGGCATTGCCGTGAAACCACCTTTTGAAACCTTTATGATAGACAGGGACCACCCAGAATCAGCTGCTCTTCTCAACAGTCACACACACTATAACCCCTTCATAAAAATCTGGCAGTTTAAACAATGGCATTCACAACAGAAGATGACCTCTGACACTTGACCTACCTATCTCTTTTCATTTACCAGAACAAATCTTTTGAAATCACTTAAGCGGTGGTCTTTCTCTCGTCTAGTGACCTCTATTAGGACAAATGTGTTACATTGAGTCATTGAGCCCTTTTGGTCAGCTGCATCATAAACCTTTGCCCTTTTCAAGGATGTTTCTCCCACTGCCCCACAGACTGTTGAGTTTCATCGTAATTAAAACTCATGGCTTGCGAACACACAACAGAATCCCTTTCCGGGCCAAGACAGACAAACTCCCTACCTGCACTCCAATATGGCTATCAGATGTCAGCCAGCAGGGAAGGCCAGCTTTCCCCATGTAACATTTACCAGAATGCATTGTGATGCTTTATCCCCCACCCAGCTCCTGTTATCAAATACCCACCGAGAGCGTTGAATGAGTTACGGGGTGTCCGTGTCCGATACGACAATCTGAGACCCATAACACTCAGTCTAAGAGAAACACCTGATCCCTTTAATCAGGTTTAAAGATGCCTGCCACCCCTCCACCGGCTCCAAGTGAGTGTGAACTCATTTAATACTCCTTTACTATGGGATCACCTCTGCTCTGAGCCTTGAGAATTTCCCCGCCAGAATCTAGAAATCTTAAATCTGCTTGGTAAACATCTCTTAGATAAGATGAGAGGACCTTCAAAGGGTACGGTTCAAGTCTGGACTCACCTGTGAAAAGTCTTAAGTCCAGTGGGGTTAAAGTGAGCTGCTAAAAGGCCCCTGAATTATGGTCACGGCACTTAAGAAGAGAACCACAGAAGAGGCAACAACAGATTTCCGAAGATGTTTGTAGAGGATTGCTGAAAAAAATAGCTCAAGAAAAAGCTCCAAAAGAGCTTGTATATTTACACACAAACACACCAAATTCTAGAAGTTTGTATAGTTTTATCCAAAAATTTCTTTTTTGAAAATAGGGGGAATTTCCCTCTTATAGGTGACTCTTGTGAGAGGGAATTTTTTTAATTTGAGGGGTGGAGGGGAGCATTTTTAGACATTTTTCAAAAATATATATTTCTCACCTAAATGTTCGATCATGAAGTGCATTTTTACACTCATGCAATTGTTGCACAATACAATTACAATACAATACGCTTACACACAGCACAAAACAGTTGCTTCAAGCAAGTGGCAAAACATTTAAACTACTTTTCTTGCGTTATCACAAACATTCTAAATGAAAACTTACCATTGACAGAAACAGTCAGCTCTACTGCCTTTTCTTTTGCATTTAATTCTTTATTACAAGCAATCCTGCCATTCATAAAGAACTTTGTTTTTCTACCTCCACGAGTGCCATCTATTATTGAATTGTTTATCTAAAAGTGCTCTTTTCCATTAAACCTAGACAAAAAGCCATATGTGTTGACTGTGAAACACAGTAGACTTTAATTATATGCATTTATGGTGTAATTACTACATTTCACATCTTTTCATATTTACCGCAAACAATGCTCGGTCACTTTAATTCAGCGCGTGCAGCGGAAACAGACGTACCGCTCCTGGAACGCACTGCCAGATACAACCATGCAGTGTGAACGCTTTAATCCGTTAACATGAGCGTGGAAAAAAATACGCACCACATACGTACTGCAAACAGAGTAATGTGAACCTGGCGTTATGTGTGTGCACTTCGAGTGTGCATGAGCGCACGGTCTCCAGGAGAGCACGCGAGTGCTGAATGGTTAAACACTGGCAAGAATGAAAAAGAAATGCAATTTATAAACTTTAGTGGCAACACTGCCTCGATTGTGCAAGTGACAATTCCTGTGTCAACTGTGCAGCGTGCAGCTCGCTTATAGTGCAAACACGACATGTGGTGATTTGAAGCCATTTGCGCATTTCGATAGATAAAGAGAGAGCGTGCAGTGATTCACTCACGTTGTTTGTGGAATTATGTCTCACAGAAAGTTTTCAAATTACTTTAGAAGTTATTTAAAGAAGAAATATGAATTGCCCCTTCAACATTATAATTATTTCACCCGCGCCGGACAGAGACTGAGGCGATGCTGCTGCATGTCGTGCCGAACCTCTCACAGCAGGCACGTCATCAGCTTGAGATCGGTTTATGAGATCGGCCTTTATAGAGACCGCCGA